GTCAAAACATAGAAACAACACTATATTCCGTTGATAACGTAATCCGATGTTTGAATATTATTGCGGCACTTTGAATTCAATATTACAAAAAAAAAAAAAAAAAAAGCTTCAAGTACTATCATTACTTTTTTTAGCCTCCTCGGATGATGTTGTAATAACGTTCATATTATTGTAATATTAATTGTTTAATCGATTTCTAAAGCTATCGTTCTAATGATATTATCGAGTAAATTGCTGCCTGGTTTGGTGATGAGTTTATTATTTCTGTGATTTACTATATCACTACGTCATTCGTTTCGTGAACCTACCATAATAGGCTTTTGTTGAATGATTTATTTTTTTCGATTTTCATAAGTATATCATATACTTTATAATTATATTACAAGAAATATCGGTTCCAATATGATAGAGTATGCATAGAGTATAACATGTATAATCGTGTAGAAACTGTAAATACGATAGATATCCGTGTTATTAATAGCCGTTGTGCGGGTATTACCGTCGATAACAAACAATTTGGTAAAAACATTCTAAAAATAACTCACCAATGAAAAACCTCAAAGAATGATATTGAGAATACTGGAAAAATGGGTGTCCATAAGCGTAGTAAAATTCAGAAAATTTGTTTCTATAGAAATACCGAAACTGGGAATAATAATAATATCTCGACGTGATTATTAAATGTCATTATAAAACTAAATCATGCGGTTATAAATAATACTTCATTTTAATTATAATCCAAGGGTTTTGTTTCAACTAATTACAATTAAACTTCGAATAAAATATTAATTGAGTGCATGGCGGGTAGTGTTGCGGAATAGCGAGAATTTTTTTCATGTACTTTATCACTTGTAAGACCGAGACAACGAATGCGTGTACGTGCAGGCCACGACGTTGCGCAGGTGAACTGTAAACAATTTATGTTCATTTTTTTTTTTTTATTTTACTTTTCGTCAATCCAGATAACGCGATGAGACTTCTGGACACTTATTTGCAGTAGTCGCTAATATGACTACTTGTCTTGAGTTCGATCATCACACATTTTGAGATTATTCGTTTATTTTATTTTAATTTGAAATTTAGAAAAATATGAGACATTTGATCAAAGTTTGTATTAGTTTAGGAACGAGATAATGTGGCGTGATCGATCTCACATAGATATATTAATGTAATCAAATCAGTTTTCAAAAATTCTTATCCCGTCATCCGGTCCACCGGTATGGTTGACAAAAAGTGCATACAAATGAACATAAATTGTTGTTTCGACCGAAGTCCTTTAACAATGTGTTATTATAATCGTTTATTCGGTAAAGTACGATTAAGACGAGATTTATTGATAAAGTCTGTCTCGTTAAAACTTCAGGTAGAAACACGCCGGTGACACCGTGCCGTGGCAGAGTCCTAAAACCGTCATATTCGAACAGCCGCTGTTCATCGGAAAATCGGTCGATTGGAAATCCGCAAACGCTATGGTCTCGGGAAACTCGTGGAGAATACATCCAAGATATTTTCGTCAAATTTCGACTGGTTCCAGTCATACGACGGACCTCCGAATACGGTTTACGAAAACCCGGTCGGAAGTGTGGAAATAACGACTCGTGGTGGTTTCGTGGTACTCGGTGCCGATGCAATAGACATTGGCGACCGTTTAGAATTTAGTTAGCTCGCCAAAAAGTTCAAAGCCAGATTTTTACCACCATTTCCCGTTGAGATATTGTGAAAAACGATTGTACAACCGTAGCCCGGAGGACGACGCGAATCACACTGGTTTACTAGTTGGTACGGTGCACTGTATAAACGTACACATTTTTCGACCCAATTGGTATCGCCGCAGTATACAGTCGAATTATCCATCGTTTTTACTTGAACAATATCATCATCAACAACATGACAGACACCGTTGCTACAACTCCGGCTCCAGTCGCCGCATCGCCGGCCGCGAAGAAGTCCCCTGCCAAGAAGAAGCTGTCGGCTTCTAAAGTCAAGAAGACCGTTGCGTTGCACCCGACCACCGCCGTGATGGTCACCTCGGCTATCAAAGAGCTCAAGGAGAAGAAGGGTTCGTCGTTACCAGCCATCAAGAAATACTTGGCCGCCAACTACAAAGTCGATCCCGCCAAGTTGGCGCCTTTCATCAGGAAGTTTTTGAAAGCCGCCGTCGCCAACGGTACCGTCGTGCAGACCAAGGGAACCGGCGCTTCGGGACACTTCAAGTTGCCCGTCGTCGAGGTCAAGCCGAAAAAAGCCGTTGTGGCCAAAAAGAAGAAATCCATCGTCAAAAAAGTCAAAGCCGCCGGAACACCGAAGAAGAAGAAGCTCGTAACCGCCAAGAAACCCGCGGCGGGCGAACCAGCAGCCAAAAAAGCGAAAAAGGCCGCTGCAACCAAACCCAAGGCGACTACACCGAAGAAGGCCGCAGCCAAGGCGAAGAAGCCGGCCGCTGTCAAGCCCAAATCGAAGAAAACTCCGATCAAGAAAACCGCAGCTCCAAAAAAGAAGTAGACTGGTAGTAAAAATACTTTCCTCTTCATACCTTAAAACGGTCCTTTTCAGGACCACCAATTTCATATAAACGTATGTCTTGCACCGACTATTTTTCATACGCTTTTGTAAGCCGTATGACGTGTGACGATTTACTGCCGCAACTGATCGTTTCAGACTGTGGACGGGTGAAACTACGCAATTGCAGTTTGATTATTGCAATCGAATTTAAATTATTAAGGAATTCCCAAATTCAATGTTATTTACAATCATAAGCGATGCAAATAAAAATAACATTTAATTACGTCGAGATACTATTGCCCGTATTTCTATGGGTTTTTCATTCATGAGTTATTTTTAGAATGTTTTTACCGACTTCCTTGTGGTCGACGTCAATAGCTGCACAACGGCTATTAATGATATACTAAGTATATTTGATGATATCATTGTGAACAAAGTAATTTATATATTTCCCTAATTACGTGGACCCTTGTTTTAAATTTTCAGTCCTTAGCTATAAAAGTTGAACATTTTATAAGTTTTTAACATTGAAAATAGAAGCAGTACAGACAATAGGTATCAGAGTAATACTAGGTCAACCGTCCATAGTAAAAAAACTCAGTACCTCTTCACACAACCGGTTTCATCCCTATCAAGCATTTAATCAAAAAGAATGCCTTAGCAACCTTCCACCGTATCTCAACTTCTCAGTACAACCGTATAAAGAATATTGGGCAGATTTCCCACCCATCACATGCCTCTAGACATAAACAACGACCTAGAGTAAAATTATGGGAAACAAGTTAAATATATATAAAAATTTTCGTCAAAATTCGAACTTAAAATGCTTATAAAAAAAAAAAATTGTGCCTATATATTTTTAATATTTTTCAACTTTTATTGTAACAATATAGTAGGAGGCTTGTATTAAATTTTCAAGCTTTTTTTACCCAACAAATAAAGTTTTATTGACATTCATAGAAAAAAAAAACCAATAAAATTGGAAACTGGAAATGTTCCTAAACAGTTAAAAACAAATCAAAATATTTTGAAAATTTGGTCGTGTGTAGGAAATGCAAACATAAGCTACCAGTGATAATTTAATGTTTATACGTTCATTTGTTTTAGAGTTAAACCAAAAACCAAAATCGATTTTGAGTAAAAATTACCGTTTTCCCTTAATTTCTATGTTGTTTTTCTCGTCGCTTTGGATAACTATTGGGAATTTTAAAATTTGACCCCCCGAATGCAACAAGTAGATTCGCTTTCCCATAGAACAAGATACTGTTGAAGAAAATCGAAGCAGTTTTACTGCCCCTAAATTGTGATGACGGACACAAAAATAAAAAATAAAAAAAACACACACACACACACACACACACACACACACACACACACACACGTCATTGTAAAATCAATGCGTTCATCGTTCCACTCAGAATGTAAAAATAAACTAATAAAATTCGAAATATACTTATACCTATAAGTAGCTCAAAAAGAGTAAAAATATTTTGATAATAATTGTAAGGTGCGTAGAAAATACAAATATTGACATTCGGCGAAAATTGCATGTATCCACGGTTACATTTTTATTTAGTTAGGCACTCCAACATACAAAATCAAACTGACTTTGAGCAAAAATTTCCGTTTTCCGTTTTGGGATAGATTTGTTTCATCATGTGCCATTTCTAACCTTATTTTATCTATAATAGTCCAAATTATTATATTATACTGGTGCGTGGTAAGTTATTTAAATTTATTTTAATTACATTTATTATTAATTAATCAGTAGACCTTAGATGTTTATGGTTAGGTATTGCTTAGCTTTTTTCTTTTAGTTACTTATGCCAAGGTAGGTAGGCAAGGTAGGTAGGTACCTATATAATTTTATATATTTTAGATAATTAGATATTAGATTTATAGCTAAATTATATATCCCTATTCATAAGTATAAATTGTATATAGTTGTATTATTGGTATTATTTATTTTAAGTTATATTATTATGGATAATTCAAGAAAAGGTTCCAGAAAAAAAATTAGTTTATCAAAATCTAAATTTACTAAAAAAAATTAGACAGCAACTTAATTATTTAAACCATTTAAGAAAAAACAATAATAATACAGCATCTGTTACTTTACCTAGTAGCAATACAAGTTCAAGTACACAGACTCAAATTAATGTTGAAGATACATTTATATCTAATGATACCCCGAATGATACACTTATTGAAAAAAATGATGTTATTCCAGTTAGTATTTCATCTCAAATTTCTTCAGAAAATAGTAATTGTCAAACATTGTCCCTGTTTGGTGAATCTAATTCTTCTACTTCATTAAAAAATCTTAATTTTCCCTATACTCTTGGCCCACCATGCAGGTGTTGTTTTCATGCATTGTATATTAAATATTGACTTTCTCTATCTTTAAAAAAAATTTCTCACTTGAACATTCAGCTTAAGCATAATTATGCTTTACTATAATCATATTATAATATTTCTTGTTATTTAATTGTAGCAATATGCAGAAATCCGGTTGGTATATAGTAAAATTTATAAATGAAAATACCATTGAAACAATACCAAGTTGCTGGATGGTAAAATTTAATAAATGTTTGTGGCCTACCACGTTATCATTTTAATTTAGTAAAATAAGTTTGGCTATCAAAAGTTATCTTAAACCTTCAAAAAATTCAAAAGAATGGAAGTATTGTGAAGTTAAAGTATTAAGTAAAAAGCTATTAACAAATTTTAATGAAGCTTCAAAATTGACCAATAAGTTTTTAACACAATCTTCTACCGAAGCTGAATCATACCTACCAAAAAAATTTTTAAAAAAAAGTAAAAAAAAATATCAAAAAAAGAGAGAAGACCAGTAATAATGAAGATTGTTCAGAGCCCTTACAAAATAGCAGTAGCAGCTGCAGCAATTGCGATGAAAGTGATTCAAGCCTTCCATTATTACCATCATTTTCAAGTAATATTAAAGTTTATTTTTCTTATTATATCAAATCATTATTAAAAATGCAAAGATAGAATTGGTATGTGTATTATATTGTTTTAGATTGTATAATCTATTACATAGAAACAATTGTTATGGTTTTAGAAACTGATGACAAAATACAAACAATTAATGCTGATGAATGTATTTCAACTAATGATGTATGTGAAAAAAAATACTGTTAACAATTTGTTTACCCTTGATATTAATTCATCTACAGAAGAAAAAACAGGTTACCTCCATTATTTATAAAACACAATATTTTGACAACTAAAAATAATATAAGTTAATTTCATAATATATTATCTTATGTTCAAATAGGTAATACAGATAATGATTCTGTGCTTGAGAATTTACTGGCTGACGATTATAACTGGATAAATAATGTTTCAATGATTAATAATAATTGTGATAATAATGAAGATAACATTATTATACTAAATTCAAGTGTTCAAATAGAAAATAATGGTATGTACTTAATTATTATATGTTTTTATAAAAAAAAAAAGGTATTATAACTGTATTAGGTTGTATTAATTTTATATAAAATATTTGTTTCTATGTAGATGTAAAAGCTGATAGTGTAGAAACTATTAACCCGAATTGGATTCAAGAAGATCCAGCAGGTACCTATAATAATGTTTTTAATGAAATAGTTAATTATAATATTGTTTATCATATTGTATTTTAGAAATATATTTACCTACCTATATATTATAATATGTACGTTTCAAAGATTTTTGATATATTTAAAAATGTTATTGTTTCTTAACAGATATTATATATAGGTTAGCTGACAATTTGTTATATATTTATAATTTAAAATTTGCATTCAATAATTTTTAAAGTCTAAGTACATACCATTAATACATGCTCAATATTTTTAAAATTTGATTATAAAAGTTCAAAAACAAATTATACGTCAATTAGTTACATTAAATGCTAGAAGTAAGGAACATGGAGAATATTTGCACACAATTATGATGATTTTGAATGACATGCAAGAAAGACAAAAAATATCTACTGATCAACTATCTGCAACATCATCATCTAGCCATGAATTTGAAAAAATTTATGAAACTTTACCAGTATCAAGTGAAGAATCATTAAATATTTTACAAAATGCATTAACTAACAATGACACTTTATATAATAAAACTGTAAGTATTGTTTTTAATTATATAAATTATAATTTTTAATACAGTCTTGTTATTAAAAAATAGGTAAAAATGTTGTCCCTAATTGGAGGAGGAGATGTTAAGGAGTCGGTGAGGCGTATATTGCGAAAATGAATAACAAATGAATATGCAAAAACATTTAGCTATACTGGTCACAAAAATTCCAAAAATGCATTTAATAAAACCATTTTGTCATCACTACTTATAAGTGTGTACCTATTTCATTTATTTTTATTAGGTATACAATTTAATATTTGAATAAGGCCAAAAAACATTAAAAGGTCCTTTTTAAATTGAAATAGATATTATATAATATCTGTTGGATTATAATTATTTTAAAGGATACATAGTTTACCCAAAAAAATACATTGCTTTATAAGCAACTACTGCTTATATTGTGTTAGTTTCAAAGAAATAGGAATAATTAAGTTGATTTCCTAAATTAATAGTAACAAGTATTGATAAAAAATATTATATAATAAATATCAATCTGTTTTTTTATTTTTAGAAATTTTAATATTTTATAACTACTCCCCATACTTACCTAGGTACTCAAGTAAAATATAGGCAAATTTAAATTAAACATTAATGTAACAAATGTTAGTTTTTTTTATAAAACGAACTTAACAATTGTTGCATATTACATAAATGTACACTAAATTAAATTATTTGGTACGATCAATGTCTCTAAAAAAGCTGAAATTAAAATTGTGGTTGAATCTATTTCTGATGTTTGATATTATGTAATTTTTATTCGACTTTGTTAATTTGTTTGTACTATTTATGAAATACTAATATTATTTTATATCATATTAGACATTTATACTTAATACATTGTTTAAACAATTAATATTAAGTTACATACATATTAAGTTTTATATATTTTAATATCTTAATGAAATTATTAATTTCAAAATAAATTTAAACTACTTTAAATGATAACTAAAATAAATTTCTATTTTTGATTAATACAGCTTTTGTCAGACCAGTAGATAATTAGGTTATTTTGTTCTATTTATCTGTATCTATCAATATGTACCTTTAGGCTATAGGTAGGTTAAAAATGATTATAAAAATGAAATAATTTTAAAATTGTACTAATAATATAATTCAACTTTGTTTTGTTTTAGAAGCTATACATTCATCTGTACATTTGGCTGATAAATCAATTAAAGAAATTGAAACAATTGCAAGCATTTGGCTAAGTAAAACTGGTGAAAGATCAAAAAATAGAAATTAGCATAATATATTAAAATATATTTGTAATATTTATGGATATGCTAACCTATGGAAATTCTTTGAATGTGAATAATATTTTTTTTTTAATTAGAGGTTAAATCTATTTCTAATAAGTAAATATAATATATTAGTATTAATGATATGTCATTTTTTATTCAACTTTGTTTTAACTATTTGTGCTATTTATAATGCTAATATTCAATCATATAATACATTTATACATTTATACCTAAGACATTGTTTAAGTTGTATAAATAATATTTTAATGAAATTACTAATAACTGTTAATTTGAAATTACTTTTTAATTACCTATATCTAAAATATATTTCTATTTATTATTAATAAAACTTTTGTCAGACCAATAGGTAACTAATTATTTTGTTATATTTATTTGTTGTATGTTTAAATTTATTTGAATAATACTAAGTATTATTATTAAGTCATATATTAATGTGTTTGTAATATTTATGGATATACTAATCTGTGGATAATCCAAGAATGTGAATAATATTTTTTTTTAATTAGCTGAGGTTGAATCTATTTCTGATAAGTAAATATAATAATATACAGGGGTTAAAGTGGGGGGACGCAAGGGGACTCAGTCCCCCTACCTCTAATGGTGGTTAAAAAGTGTCCCCTTTAAAAAATCATTCTTAAAGTACGTCGAAACGCTCCAATTATAACCAATTATATCAATATTCAATATAATTCAGAATTCTGTTGAGATTAAAACCGTGATTTCCACGGACTATGATATACAGGACTGGACACTACAAGGTTAGAGGGTGTGATTGGTTGACCGCAAAATGTAGTATTATTCATAAAATAAATTAAAAATTTGACCATTATTCATGATTCAATGTGGGATGAGTATGTTACACAATCATTGTTTATAAATTACATGTACCCACTATGACTATATGTATATTATGCATTAGACATTATACATAAAACGATATATGGAACGCTTAAAACTATATGGAGACGTTAGTCCCCCCTGGGATTTTTTTCCACTTTAAGCACTGATAATATATTAGTATTAATGATATGTAATTTTTTATTCAACTTTGTGTTAACTATTTGTACTATTTATAATGCTAACATTAAATCATATTATACATTAAGTTTTATAAATAATATTTTAATTATATCTAAAATATATTTCTATTTTTTATTAATAAAACTTTTGTCAAACCAATATAGGTAACTATTTATTTTGTTCTATTTATGTGTTGTATTAAATTTGTTTGAATAATACTAACTATTATTATTAAGTACTTATATTATTATGTATTTGTAATATTTATTAAAAATAAAAATAAATTCTGTTAAAGATAACATAATATATTGTTTTGATTTATAACATAATGGACATTAATTCAATTAATTATTTAACAAATGTTTTTTACTCAAGTACCTATTTTCATTTTTTATCTTGTACTACTTTTATTAGTATATTATTGCAAAGTTAATACATACTTTTATAACTTCAACATAAAATTGTGTAGTTGATATGTGGATATTCTACGAATGTGAATAATAATTTTTTGGGAATATACTTTTACTATCTGGTAAAGAGTATTAGTATTATTCATTTGTTGTCTATTGGTTGCTCAAAGAATATCTATCGGGAGTCTCATTTCAATATGCATTGGTTATTATGATAACAATCAATTACGATTATCAAATAATTATTTAATGAATGATTTAAAACATGATATGGATATTCTCGTAAAAGATTCATAAATTATTCTGAATTATCTGATTATTCATAGCATGCCTAAAAGTGGCTCATTTGGCGATATTTTAATATTCCATGCTCATTCATAGATGATGAAATGATAAATGAAGAATAATCTATGCTTATTCCTTACATTCTTTTCGAATATGCTATTAATATCTTATCATATGATTGTCTATGTGTTACTTGGGTGAATATGTACATGTTTTAAGAGAACATGTGTGATAACTGCACGTTCAAATACATATTGTACTACCATAGGATCAGGAAATAAATGTTGTTCTTTACATTTTTTTAAAGTAGTAGTCAGCATTTGTTTATAAGTAGTCAAAGTTTTATTCTGTAAGAGTATATAATATACTGCTGTTGTAAAACATTTATCTATTTCTACACGTTACAGTTGTGTAAATAGTTTTAAATTTTGAATTTTAAAAGCTACTTAAAAAAATTGTGCAAATGTATTTTTAATATTTTTCAACTGCTATTGTAGCGATATATTAGGAGCCTTGTATTAATTTTTCACTCTTTTTGACCCAACAAATAATATTTTATTGATATTTATAGAAAAAAACTAAAAAAATTGAAATTGATCATTTGATAAAGTATAATAATTGATAAAATAAAAATATGATATAAATCTCAAGTGTCTACGGTTATTCGTTTTTGAATTAAAATAAAAATAGAAAATTGAATGTATACAAGTAAAAAATGTATACAAGCAAATCAAATTACATTTCTAAGAGCGTCTGAAATTCATATTTTTACAATATTGGATATTCTCATGTGGCGGTTTTGTTATTTTATTGTTATTCAAAAACGTATAACTATAGATACATTTTACTGAATGTTAATATTTTCATTTTCTATACAAAATGAAATTTTAAAAATATTTTGACCTTTTTTGAGCTGTTTACGGGGACATTGTCAGTTTTCAATTTTTTTTTCTATAAAAATCAATAAAATGTTATTTGTTGTGTAAAAAAGCGTGAAAATTTAATGCTGAAAATATTAAAAATACACAGGCACAATTTATTTTTATAAGCATATAAAGTTCGAATTTTGACAAAACGTATTATTATAATTATTTTGTAAAAAATGTATAAAATGTTCAATTTTTATAACTAATGATTGAAAATTTAAAACAAGGTTCCATGTAAATATATAAATTACTCTATTCACAATAATATCATCAAATACATTTGGTAATACCATAGGCAGACTGACTGTTTTCGCTCAGAATCGTTTTTCCTATTCAATACCTTCACTATGCCAACTAAATGTATCAAATGTAATAAACATTTAACACACCTTGAAGACGTACTTCAATGCAGTTTATGTAAAATCCATACATTAGTTGCAATGGAATTTCCGAAACAACTTTCAGAAAAATGACAAACAATACTAAAAAGCGTTTTACGTGTACTAACTGCAATACTGCCAAAAGCCCCACAACCTCCACTGAACCATCCAACTTATTGGAAGTTAAGATTGAAGACCTAATGAATTCAGTAAGCTTTATGAGTCAACAATATCGACATTCTCGTCATAGAAGCTAGAAGAATGACTGCAGAAAAGTCCAAATCAAATTTAATTGTTGCTAAGCTAGAATCAAGGGGGAAATGAAGCCAGCTAATCCGCAACTCAAAAAATTCAAAACTTAACGGTAATATGTTAGTCAATAACTGGATTATTTTTCACCAAGACAAGAGCAGAAATCCTTACAAGAAAAGACGAGAACTCAAAAACAATGAACAAACCTTTAGTGGATTTGAAACAAATGTAAGTCACTAATTTTTATTTATTTTTTCTCACCTTTCCTAATATAAATGTTTTAATTTTAATTCTTATTTTCCTATGAAACCATTAAATACAATAAATAATATAACTACAAAAGAAACTGTGCCCTTATGAACTATTCAAGAAGCAAACTCAAATAATTTCTCTGATAATTCCGGTCTAAATATTATGCACGTTAATATTAGAAGTATTTTAAAACACATATCTGATATTGAATGCCTTAGTGCTGCTCTAAATAATAATAATCATATAATAATAACAACCGAATCATGGATAAGCGATAACTTTAATACTAAATTTATACCTTTTAAAAATTATCAGATAGTAGCCTCAATTAACAATGTGCGTAGAAGCGATGGTATTTTCATCAAAAATGAAATAACCCAAACAAGTACCGAAATTACAATAACAAACGCAAATTGCATTTTTACTCTAATAACATACAAAAATATAAATTACGGAAATACGGAATTATATCTATATACAGATCCCCAAGTGACAACTTAATTAAATTTATTGAAGAACTAGAGACAATAATTTCTAATTATTATATTATATTATCATATTATAAAATCTCATAAAAATATTACACTAATCTTAATAGGAGACATAAATATAGACCTCTTAGACACTACAAATTCAACAGCCGCTTATCTAGATTTACTAAACTCATTAGATTTTCTTCAGCTTATCAACCGACCCACCAGACCTCAGACCAATACCTGCATTGATCATATATTTATCAAAGATAACCATAAACACTACAATATACAAGCCGTCGTTTTAGACTCACTTATTAAAGACCATTACAATATAATTCTACAATTAGACAATAAAACTACAAGCGGGAAAAAAAATTTCAAATCAAAATACTTACAAATACGTTGATTTTAACAAACTTAAATTAGTATCAAGCATAACTAATTGGAATAAAATTAAATTAGCTAAAACCGCAGAAGACGAAATAACACTACTTACATCAATAATTCAAAATAACATAAAAAAACTGTACTTCCGTAAGACAAAAAAATAAAAACAGACTAAAACATTAGATCAATACTGGCATTCTACAATCAATAAAAAAAAGAGACAAACTACATACTTTAACTAGACAACAATCATTCAACACACCTCTAATTGATAGTTATAAAAAATATAGGAATAAGCTTTCAGATATAACTTCGAAACAAAAACAAAATTATTATAGGGAAGCAATCTCAAAAAACAGCAAAAATATAAAAAAAAGCTAAGGTCAACAGTTAAAGATATATAACAACCCATACTGAACACAAAACACCTAATTATAATATAAACATTAACAATAAAATACATGACTCTAACTTAGACGCTACCTACCTTAATTTCAAACACATTCAACTCATACTTTATCTCAATGGGAAATCCAAATAAAGTAAATTCTAGTGAAAAGCAGTACCATTCTGTCAATAACAATTCCACTCAA